CTCTCTCTCTCTCTCTCTCTCTCTCTCTCTCTCTCTCTCCCTCTCTCTCTCTCTCTCGATCTTTTCAGCTCTTTCTCTTTCTCTCTACCTTGCTCTCCCACTCTCGCTTCGGTTACCAACCATCTCGTTCGCTCTTGAAACTCAGGTCTGACCGCGCTCTTTCTTTCTCCTTCTGTCCTTCGTCGGCTTTCGTCGACCCCGTTGCCAAGGTGGACGCGCGTTCGTCATTCTGAATGCGTGGCCGGTGTCGGTGCTAGAGGCTGCTTGGACCAGCGTCGGATAAGTCCGAAGAAGAAGGACCAGGTTGTGTGCTCGAGGTGATATAAGTTGTGAACTGATGGTGGATGTGATCGGTATTGCTTTCACGTGAAAGTTCTCAGCGAGTATACCGTGGAGAACGTCGGAAGCGATTGTCTTCCGGTTTCTCGAGACGAGACGAATAATCGAGGTAGCGTATACTCGAAACTTCGCTTTTGTGCTTCGAATTAGAGTGTGTAAGTATAGGTGGAGTACCGTAAACTGCTGATGGTCGCAGAGAAATTGTTACGAGTTCCAATTGTTCGGAAGGACCTTGAGAGAGGATTGGGAAGTGTGCCAGGATAATTCTAAAGTGGCAATTTGCAGAACATGTTTCGTGTGGTTTCTCCCAAAGTCGTTTTCTATATTGTTAAATATTTCAAACAAGAAAACCTCGCTAAGAGAACGGGCAGTTTTGTCGACTTATCATAATTATTCTTTATTTCTTCGTTAAACAAGGGTTTATCAGTAGACATTTGTTAAAAGAATTCCTGTAATTAAAATGACATATGGAGTATTTAACTGTAAAAATTATACAGCACTTTTTGCTTTTATATATCTCTTATCTTATCGTTTACATTTGTTAATTTTGAATAACGACGTAATCGCGTCTCTTGCCGATTTCTCGATACTGCGGATAATTAATAGTCGAACGTCGCGGTTGAGATTGCGCATTGTGTCGCGTTTTACGCTACGCTCGCATGGCTCATACTCCGTTCCGGAATATTGCTTTTCGCGCGTGCGGCCTTATCAGAAATCTTCCTTGTCGGACGGCCATACCTGTCGGGCAATTACGCCATCGTGTGTAAATCGTTGGAGCCATGAAAACTTGACGCTCTTATCAGTCGTTTCTAATACTCGCGTCCGAACAAGCCGTTGCTTTCATGTTTCGACGGGACTGAAGACAAATCGCCGTGCAAATCGCTTGATGAAGAGATGAAAGAAGACACGGTTCTCTTTAATGATCTGTAATTTCAATTTCTATAATTTCTCGTCTTCGTCTGCATTTTCGTCTCACATTCTTTTGGTAATTATAATCCGTTATCTCATATCGCGTTATCGTAAAAAAGCGGAGATTATTACCAGCCGGACAATTATGAGTTGAGCCGAGAATCACGTAGGCGAATGACGTTTTAATTGCGCCGCACGATATCGGACTAGTTTCGCTTGTAAGTGAAGCCGTGCGGGTTAAACAAATATTCCGTCTGAAATCTTGCCTAACTAACGTGTGAATCGCGTTATGCATGCTCACGTACGTCTCGAATGACGTAGAATGAATCGAATCGTTGAAACTGAAACGGAAATCAAATGCGTGATATATCAATTTACGTTAGAACAGATTTTGAAGCTATAATCTGGACCGTAAAGAAAACGTTCAAAATTTTGTTTCATCATAAAATGAGAACTTAGTCGGAAGCCTAGCTTATTCTTCTTAGCAAAATTCAAGAAATTTAATTTATTCTCCAGCACGCTTTCTGCTTGACGTCAATCCAGTTTTCGTTTTCAATACGTTTAACCTATAACAATTTAATATTCGAGATTTTATGCGCGTCGAACAGGATATAAACTTTAGAGAGATTCTTTTGCACGTGAAAGAACGACGAAGATTTATCTCTCATAGAGAAGAACATCGACTGATCAATAAGCGAAGATAACGTAATGAGCACGCTAATGTTACTCTTTTCACTGCCACTGTACTTTTACATTCGACGGGAATATTGCGTTACGACACCGTGAAATCGATATTATTGCTTGCAAATCATGTTCGTTAGGCGAATGTAAACTTCCGCGTCGGACCGCAGAGACCGCGTTTCACCTACCTCGGCGTGCGCAGTAAAGACTATTGAATCCCAACGGCACAATGGCGTATGCTAAATCTAGTTCTTCCAAGTCTATTTTCCTTTCCTGAAGACCGTGTGTCCACCAACATTAAATCACGAAAAGAAACATTCAATCATGAAGGAATTATACCTAAACGTCCACTTTAAATCGCGTTCGAGACGCGAGAGATCCCGACGTCGCGTGATAGTAGTTGAAAAAAATAATTCCAAACGTTTCAAGTGTAACGTACGTGTCTCTTCTCTTTTTTTCATCGTAGAGCGAAAGCCGCGAGGAAACGGTGACCACCAGTTCTACCGTGGTGACCTCCTCGAAAGGTGGGACCAAAACGAAGAAGAAGAAGATCGAGGGCGTTGCTGGTAACGATGCTACCTCGCCGAACCTTACGCCGCGCACAAAGAAAACCAAGAAGAGCAAGAAGAGCGATCTCGAGAAGGAGAACATCTCCGTGGTGAGTTATAAATCGTTTTGATAGACGCGCGCGTGTGCTCGGGATGTCCCGCAGCTATCCTTTCACCGGTACGTGTTCTCTAATCGCCATAGCGTGGCAGTCTTGGCCGAACGAAAATTTGATAGGATATCAAATCAGAAAATATACTGTTGAATTAAACTCTCCAAGTGATATCGATCGAAAAACAAATCGGACTTCTATGTACCTACAAGTTGTAGCCTCGTCGTTATTATCGGTTTATCGGCATTTTCGTTTTGAGAACGATTTATCAGGCTGGTAAAAGGATCGGTGAATGTGAACAAAAACCGTGATTGTTCTGGGACATGCTGTGTCACGCGACTATATTGTATCTACTAATTTGCTATACGTTCTGTATATTGATTATCGACAAGACATATATATATATATATGTCACCGGGATTTTTCATCAAATAAACGCTGGTCATACCGGTCGCTACTCTCGGGAGATATAATTGAGGGCGGTTCTCCGACATGTGCGAGATGCTCGAGTACGAAAAATCACCGTGTGTGGAACCGTTATCACGCTAATTATCACTTTACCTATGGTAAAACTCGCCGCCGGCGCAGTCGCGCCGGTGAAAACCGGAAGCTCGCGCTTTTGGTATCGCATCTGCATGCGTCGGCTCGCTGGCTTTTCCGGATTTCGTCGGCACAGATAGGAGCGAGTTTTCTACCGTCTAACGCTCTTCTTGGAATCAGGGGATCTGATACGTGATCGCGACAGATATCGGAGCGCTATTAAGTAGAGCGCGGACGATATCGATCGAGATTGCGACGTTTCCTTTTTACGGGACTTGTCCTCGGCGCGCAATTACAGGCGAGTTGCAGCAGTGGAGCTCTTTACTTCCGTTCCGAAAGTCATTATGATGTTAACGTCGGTAGAAAAGCGAAATAATTAGACGATATTACTTTATTAAATAATATATTTAACATTTTGATTGGTTAAACGAAGAAAAAAGAAACGTTGAAGCTATGCTATTACTATATCATTATTATATTTTATGAAGAAATATAGATTATATTTATGTGTAATAAATCTCTTTTTTTAACGAGTTAATGCTTTTTAGTATAATATCGTCTGATTACGTGTAGATGCTGTGCGGACGAGATCTCGCGTAGCAAATTATTTATATTATTTTTTTTAAAAAAAGCTTATGTCCGTAAATGCAAGGTGAAACAATTTGCGCATTCTGTACAATACGTATAAATATCGAAACAAGTAAATGAAAAAGTGACAATGTAAAAAGTGAATGAAAAATAAATTTCTAATTTATTAAGGAAATGTAAGGATGATTCTCAGTGGGATATTAAAGTGTCTCTATATTTATAAAAATTGAATTGTGAAGAATGTGTCATAAACAAAACGTAGACTGGACGTGTAACGTGTAATAATTAATTATTTCTACCTTTGATTATCGTACTCGACTAACGGCTAGGCGCAAGTTAGCAAGTAGACGCAGCTTATTAATCTCTCATGCAGTTGCATGCTCAGTGTGTTCGTGTTTCTTTTGTTTTTCCATCAGAACTGTAGCTTACAAGACGCAAGCATGCATACGGGCACTCAGCGATCGCATTCGGAGATGATCGATTTTTCCGCCAAGGACGATTTATCGAACGTCAATGTTAAGTCACTGGTAAGTTGCGCTGAAGCGTATACGTATCTGAGAATTAACTGCAAATTACACACGCCGATAATTACAGTCAGAGTGTAATTTAATCCTCAGCTCTTACAAGTGTCGATCTAATTTTATTAATGGATATTACGCACCTTAGAAATTAATCTTTAGTATATGAAATAGCTCACGTTTAAATTCTCATTGTTCGAGTATTAACATAAAATTCGTGGTAAAAAGCACTTTTGACATTTAAGACAGATCTTGCGGAACGCGCTCTCTCTATTCTCAGACATTCCTTTTTCCTCTCGTTTTCCTGACTTCTCTCGGCACAACTGTTTCCCAGCGACGAGCGCGTTGCATTTATGCGAGATGCAAGTACTGTGCTCTAGCTTTGTTTCTCGGTCAACGAGATGAATAGGCGCGCGAATATAGAGATTTCCTGACCCCGGCCACTCACCAAGTGATCTACTAGATGTGAAAGAACGTGGCTTTAAATAATGAACGGCGGGTGCAGTAGACGTACAATTACCTCATTAAGCAATTAAAAGTTACCTACGTTGTTTGATTAAACCTGCCGACGAAATTACGTTGTTACTTTCGGGAATTGCGTGTGTAATTTTGCCATCGCACGAGCGTGATTCCAGTGAATGTTAAAATTTACCTAGCAAGCGTAATGGAGTTGATATAACGAACGTATCTTGCAATCCTTTCATAAAGTAAAGAAGTATGTTTTCCCTGTTGAAGTAAATTCGAACGAATACTACGTGCGAGAATCAGGGTACATTAATATATGTATAATCAAATAAGATAAATACTCAGCGAAAATTATACTTTACGTAATTGTTATTTCGCCATAACGTAAAACTGTGTCCCGAATGTACGTGTCTGTTGTTGCATGTATACTGATCCGCCTGCATTTTTGTTCCTCTTTTTGCGCATGCAGACACAGAACTATGTCTCGGAGACGAGTCGTAGTGATCAGGAGAAGTTGTGCAGGGAGCGGATAGCGACTGGCGTGTCCATCAAGCAATTAGTAAGTAACAACCATGTAGCCGGCATGATCGCGTTTGCAATGAAAGGAGACACATGAAAAAGGCACGCTAGATAGTGTCGTCAATTATTCCGTCATGGTCTTTTCTCCGTAGAATTAAAAAGGCCAATTTTCTCGATCGATGAGATATCGATTTAATTAATGTACGCTTTCGCTACAAATCTGCTTCGTTAATAGCACATGTGGTACATTTGTCAGATACATATTTTGTCACTAACAGTGTCGCAGCTTTGGCGACATCTCGAACATGAGTGACGGCGATCAGGCAACTTTTGGGAAAGCGAGCCATGCGATGGAAATCGAAGAGGTTTGTATATTGTCTTAATTCGTCCAAACGCGCGAATGTCTCGTGTTTTGTTTTCGTCCTGGTCGATGTAATTGAAAGTGATGTTATAATATAACAGCCGTGCAAATTTTGGCTAATGTTTATTTAAATTAGCAGTCTTTTTTTCATATAATGAAAGAGATAATAATCTTAAAGTTACATTTAAGAAGACTAAGATACTTTTAAGAATAGAAGAAAAATTTTTTATGATAATTATCTGAAATAGCCGCGTTTTCCTGATAAATGTGTACATGAATAAATTTTTATTTGTAGTTTGCGATATTTTATAAATTTTTATAATTAGTATTATTTTATTCATTTATGATTTCTATCGTGATAAAGTAAGAAGGGATCGATTACTGCTAGACAAAATTTGCAAGCATGCGAATGCTTATTAACGATGTTGCAAATTAATTTCCGGCGAATGAAAAATGCATTGTGTAACCTTTGTTGTTGCATGAACCATTTTCGACATTTGCTTTGTAACGTGGCGACAATATTACATAAATTCCAAGCAAATAAACATCCCGATAATATACTAATATCGTCTAGAGCGCGAGTTCTGTGACAAAAATTTCTACAGTAATAGCATAATTATTTTTTGATTATAATATATTTTCTGTAGAAAGTATTATTTTTGTATGCCAGATAATATAAAGTTTAATTCCAACAAGCATATTTTCATTATTTTAATTAACGTTATATTAAATAATGTTACGAGGTCTCGTGACACAATTAAAAACAAATAATAAGATATCATCAAAATTTAAAATATTTGTTGCATTATGAAATATTTTTATTCGGCAATTTTCAAAAGTATTTAATGATTATTTAATCTTTGACGAGACCGCTCCATTATCGCTTGCGATCAATATTTCACAGAGCTCGCGTCTCTCGAAACGACTCACCGCTAATTTGTATTCTCGTTGATGCTCTCGCCCCGATCGTAGAAGGCGAGGTCTATGGGTGATCTGAGAGTATGCGAGCAGGGTTACTCGCGATTTACCAGAGACGCACCCGTCTTCGCCAGGGTGTCGGTCAAGGCCCTCGTAAGTACCTCTCGTAAACGGCATGAACAACATTGAAGTCAGTCGAGCGAATGGAATAACGTTAGATAAAACGCGAGCTCAGCCTAATGAAACTGGAACTTTATCAAAGTTCGCAATCGGCAATTTCTACTCGGGAGTAACGATCTATAGAGCCTCTCGCGGTGGGCGTGTAATTGTTCTATCCTACGGTACTCGGTGGCGGCCGTTTACGCATTTACCGCGTTTCCATTAATCGCGAATGTTTAAAACGAGGTGAACGCAACGCCCGTATAGCTTAAGATCCTCATATAAAAATGACAATTTGTTTTTTAGATTCATTTAACGTTTTGTAAAAATATCTCGGATAAAAGTTCTCCGGAATAAACGCTCGGTCAAGTACACCGCTACGCATTCCGAGAACTTGCCGCACGCATGCCGGAGTAGTTTACCGTCACGCTGCGAATGCCGTCTCTCCATTTATGGAAGGGCCGACTTGATAATAACAGACTACTTATTTGCCCTACTTCAGCCGATTACGGGGAAACGCAGGGTCCGGATGTCGATTACAAGTTTTTGCCCCGTATTATCGGTCACGCGGTTATCGGGATTTTGACGTGAGCTCACCTCCCGGTGAAGACACCGTCTTCTGGGATGTGCATTCTATCGTGCAGTTTCGTGTGCTTTTTCACATTTTCTATCGTAGATGTGGAGAGAGAAGCGGGAAAAGCGGATCGACCTTCTTCGTGAGTCGTGAATTAATTAATCGAGATCAGAATGCTCGTTGAACGTCGCATAGAAACGTCAATCATAGAGAGAGAGGTTTTATTTTCAATTTGCGAAATTAAGATAAGCTCTAGTTTCATAATTGCTTCTGAAATAAAATAAACAAGAAGTAATATTAAGCACGTAATAAATAAATATTATTTTTTAAATAGAATCTCACTCTAAAGAGTGAATATTGAGCCAATCTTAAAAAAAGGATAGCTTAATTTTTAACAATGAAATTTCTTCAAAATAAGATTCATTCTGAAAATTTTAGAGAGTAATAAACGCGAGACGTTCTTAAATTAAATGAAAATTCAAGAATTGAAATAACAGCGTTTAAAGTATGATAGTTTTTTCTATTTTAATGAATCTCTTTGTTTCAGTTTTACCTAAAAATTACACAACTTTTAATATTTAATTTAAAATTCTTTCTGTTCTAATTTTTTTTTTAAGAGAGTGAAACGAGAGAACGTAGTACAGCATAATAACTTGACTGTTAACATCGTATGAAAATGTGGCGTTAGTAAAGCACTTGCGTCGAAAGATCGATAGTGTAAACCAACTAAAAGTTTGCGATCATTTTACCGAGGAATGTACCGTGATACATTTAATAACGTGTGATGATGCCGACGCAAAACCAATTTGAGATAAAGAGTGAATTCGTGACGCGAAATGATCGTCCGACGCGATTCAACGGTAATTCTGCGCTACTTCCAATGTTGTTCTTTGTCCGTTCGTTTTGTTCGTTCCCCTTTTCCTTGGTCATCAGACGCAGCAGTTGGCAAAGCTTCGATCAGCGATTAAAACGCCTCACACGTACACCATGCGAGCCAAAAGTAGCTTATTTTCTTGCCTGCCACGCGGTAAGAAAGATTTATTTCTTTTTTTCCTCCACACAAGAAATCGTAAATAATTCAACGCGAGAAGCAGGCTGCGAATACAGTATTCAATTGTATTAGGGAAAGACCGATTAGCAATGCGGCGCTTCGTATAGCAGATGTCTTTAATATTAAGCCGCAATATTAAAGACGGCAACCATATCGCCGGTGGTTTCTTCGCGGAAAATCATTTTCTCCTACACACGTTTACCTCGAGAACATAATGCATACGTTTTATCGAGTGTACGACTGAACGTTAGCTTGGAAAAAGGAACAAATTGATATTCTCGAAAGTAAATATTAGCCCGTGGCATCGTCACGTTGTCTCCACCTCCGCACGCTCGTCTTCCAACCGTGTGAGGGTATATTTCTGCCAATGCGCAAATCGCAATTTTGAAATTTCCGGCCGCGTCGTTTGATGACACCATTACTGCGGAATGTCGCAAATCTGCTAACTGCTGTGTCCTGAGACACTGTAATCGGCTTACCGTGTCTCGTCCGCCTGTGTGTCTTTTTTTTTACACCAAATTATATACTAACGCACGGTCCATTTCTTGTTGCGCGACGTTTCCTCTTCCCGACGTGTGAAACCCTAAATTGATAATCACTGAAACCAACCCCTGGGGAGACAGAGGGCTTCCTATTGTAGTTTGGCAAGTCTAACGAACGAGGGTAAGGACAAGGATCGAGCATGCGAGAGGCCGAAGCTCGAGGTAAGACTCCGACGAGGAAAAGAAAGATAAAACCTTAACGTGATAAGGTTGGTTCGTACAGAGATACAACCCAAATTTTTTCCTCTTCTTTTTATTGCTTTTATTGCTCTTAAGAAAAAATAAAAATATATGCTTCGCTTGCTTAGCTTGCGATTGTCTTTGTTCGTTTTCAGACCTTTGTACGATCTTTCCTCGAAAATAAATGCCATCCTCGTGCAAATCGGAAATTGGAATGTAGAAATGGAGTGTTCGATATTGTTATTATGTAATTACATAATAACAGTGTATTGCCTTCTTTTGATTAGATTTCATTTTTTAAGAGAATTATTACGAATTGAATATCTCAATCATATATTATATGCGATTAATTTATAATTTAATTTAATAATTTTGAAATCATTTAACAATTTCCAATTGCGCACGATGATGACTTGTTTGAATCTGCTTATTTTTTCTTTTATTTCTGCTTGCATTTTATTTTGACAATAATAAAGGTATGTTGAAAATTTTTCTTGCTTCGTTAATAATGCTAGAAAAAATATTTGCCTGTGTAGAACTTATTTTCGGTTTTTTTATATATTTTTTTCTTCTCTTTAAACTTCTTAACTGTAGTGCTTATAGTCTGATACTATTGCTGTTTGTATTTACAGAAATCGAGCTTTAATAAATTCGACGCTCTTAGCAAGAAAACAGTTCTTCATGTGCGTTCGGTCGATGCGGGGAAAGTCCAACAGCAGCTGAATGCAGTAAGTCTCCATTAATTTATTCCATATTAAATATTTGTCGCTACAATTTTTATTTGACAATCGTAATTGTAGTACTCATCCTCACAAGTAATTCGAAACAAAATTAATGTAGAACAATTTGCGTGTGACTCTACTCCCGATATTAATAAAATTACTCCACACATTCGGAAATAAAATCTTTCTTAAATTAAATTCGCGTATAAAGTTTATTATTTCTCGAACGATAAATTCAGCTACGTTAAATTCCAAGTATTCGCACTTCGATACGCGCGCGTTTAATCGAGCCTAGAGAATCGTCCTCTCGTTTCTTCATAGGCGGGGAGAGTGAAAGTTGTGAAGGTGCTAATTAATTGGTGCACTGGTGCATTGCAGGTGGGTCAGAATGCCGATGCGAATACGAACTGTCGCAGCTGCGGCAAGGTCGTGTTCCAAATGGAGCAGACAAAGGCCGAGGGTCTGGTCTGGCACAAGAATTGCTTCCGGTGCGTGCAGTGCAGCAAGCAGCTCAATGTAGACAATTATGAGAGCCACGAGAGTAAGCTCTACTGTAAACCACACTTCAAGGAACTCTTCCAACCGAAACCGGTCGAGGAGTCCGACCAACCTGGTAAGATGATTACCGTCCTGCGCAATATTAATCTGCTTAAATGGATCGTCTTTGCGAATTACTCGTTAAATCTTAACGTGGACGTTTAAACGACCGACCGTGGATTCTATCGTCTCTCCATCTCGCCGCTAATCTCTCTGAGGCGAACTTTGTGCGGACAAAGTTAATTTCAATCTTCACTCAGAGTGTATTAAAGGAATATAAAAACATAGATACGCTTGATCGGCGGGAAACTGGAGACAGGAAAACTGGAAGAGATCAAGTTTGCTTTCTCGGCGTCGTCAGTCGTAAGTTTCTTTCGTGTCGCGATTAACGCCGAGCTTGATTAATTCCGGCGTTCGTTGCAGATCATAATTATACGTATTCACGTGTCCCTTGTTTTCTTTTAAGAACGCGATATACATATATATATATATATGTCAGAGGATGAATGTGCAAAACTATAGACAATTAGAAGTAAAATTGCATCCTTGATGTAAAGATAATGGTAAGAAATATGCCTCAGTTCTCTATGCAACGAAGACAATAGTATATGGGATTTAGGTATACAGTGTAATGCTGCCTTAATGTGCGGACATAACTTAGGGGGCTTGAGTGCCGGCAGTGGGTCGTCTAAGACCCAGTTTGTTAAGCCCTTTAGCATAGGGGCTAGAATTACAGTTCTCTTTTCTTCTCTCTCCCCCCCCCCTCCCTCCTCCCCCCGTATAATTACACGCGAGCGTCCGAGCGCTGAAAGAATGAGAGGTATCGTTAATGTGACAAAGAGTTGTCTTGTGAACTTCGCAGTGCGACCTCGAAAGCCGGAGCTGATCATACGGGAGAACGAGCCGAAAGAATTGCCGCCCGATGTGGTCAGAGGTAACGACAACAGCAACAACAACGTTCGACGTTTGTGAGTGGCGTGGAACGCGATCTGGCGATCTTGCTCCTAACGCTCAATGTGTCTCTTTTGCGAGTGGCTTTTTAATCGTTGTTGATTGGTTGCTGAATCGAAAATTTATCTGTGCATTAAATCGCGTAACGTGTCCCGCATTGGCGTGCCGATTAATAAAACGGGACATTGAATCATTATTAACGCCGGGCATTTCATTAGTCGGCATGTATTTCTCGGGATCTACAAGGCGATATAAATTACTGGTGCATTCCATAGAATTACGATGTATTATAATTTGTACATAATCCTGCTCTCGATATTAAAATTAATTTTTTGTCTGCATGAAAAAAAAAATGGCCAATACATTTAATGATAATACTCTTAACGCTCCATGCATTAAACTCACGTGCAAAATCCCCTTAATAGCATACATTTTAACATATTGTACATATGTGTCTGCATATATATCTTTCTTATCACATTTAACTCGGCCACAGTTTTTAAGAAAATTCATCTAAATATATGAGAGTCGTTACAGTAGTTTGCAAAATTGCTGGCGAATTAACATGAAGAAATAAATACTGCTGTTTGCGAGAGACTTGCGATTGTAAATCGTAAGAATGCTATTACATTATACACGATAATACCAATAGCTCTTGAGAGTAAAGTAAACAATTGGATAGTATCTCGTCGCAGTGGTATGCGATGTGACATCCATGGGAAGAATGTAAGAAATTTGTAAGAGCCGTAACATGATCGATGTTGGAAATTGAACGCTGTGGCTCATGTTTGATCTTAGTATATTATCATATCGCGATAGGTTCAACTTTCTCTCCTCGATATGTGTCCTTTTAACTCTCTTCGACGCTTTTCAGAATTTTCGTGTAGTGTGTGTAGCCTTGCTTTTTCCGCGAATAGTCGTCCTCGAGTGGTCTAACAAGTTTACCGCCGTAGAAAAAAAGAGAGGGTGTTGAAATGTTTGAACAGCGATGAGTATTGCTGAAAGAGAGGAGTAAGAAGGTCTCCATCTGAATTTCAGCTTCTGACAAACCCGATCTGGGACTCGAGGAACTCTCAAGCTTAAACGTCAAGTCGCGCTTCCAGGTCTTCGAGAAAGCTAGTACGGAGAACACCAATGAAATCGAACGATCACCGTCACAGATCGCCGTCAAGAGATCACCCAGCATCCTTAGCAAACTGGCCAAGTGAGTAATGAGTGACACATTTCTTGGGATGGTTTTACAGTGTCAATTATTTTAATAAAAAAATCTATTTATGCTTACTGTATATAACATTTCTAAGATTTTCTCGACTATATATCTCGACATATGTATAAATTTATATTAGATAGTAAAATCAAATCGAGTCTTTCTTCGATAATATGCTCTCTCCACGAGCGATGATAATTTTAAAACATGATATACCGTGACACAGATTCACTTCTATAGAAGATACACAATAATACGTAATTTCGTCGAATTGGTATTTTTCAAAAGGCCAAAACACACAATTATCATTGTATCTATTTTTTAGAAAAAGATCAGCGTAATAATTCATACTTAATTAAAACTTTTACGAGAAGACATTAAAAATAATAACTAATAGTTGCTATAGAGCAGTATTCGTGAAACTGTTCTATTTGTGTAAATATGATATATTATTATAATTATTGTATATTATGATTTTCTGTAATTAGTAACTGCTTATCAAATAATATGTTAAAACATTTCAAGATTTATATTATAATTATATTTAGATTTTTATTATGGGGGGGGGGCGATTTTGTTAATTTGAATATAAATTATTGATGATTTTATTAATCTACTATGTGTGTCGGTATAAATGAGGTTTTCATGGTATTCAGCAGTCAGCAGTTTCTTTCTTGTAATTTGAAACTTGAAAAAATACGGAGTAAATAAATGTTACAATAAGCATAACGGCGCAATCGCTCATCCGTGTGCAAAGTATCTGTAACTATTATGCACGTTTTCTCATCTAGATTTCAAGCGAAAGGTATGGACATTGGCGTGGCGGACGAATCTCTCAATGGCATACCCTACGAAGAATCCAGCGAAAGTGAGGACGAAGTAGAGACAGAAGAAACCGAAGGTAGAGTCAAAAGAAAATATTGTCAATATTAAACAAGAAAAAATACAATAAAAATCTATAGATTTATTAGATTTGAATATAAATTTTCAGTTTAGATACAAATTTTTTAATCTATCTCTGATTAAAAAAATGTTTATTAGAGGTAGGTTAAAAATAACGTTAACATACTTTGACTGTCATGCGTATCCAATTGATACATATTTATATGGGTGCAGGAGAAAGTTTGAATGTTAAACAATGTTAGCTATTCCATAGAAAAATAAGTTGCTTTTTATTATTACGTACTATGCAAGATTACGTATCTCATCATAATTATTTCATAATTTTATAGTTATATATAGACTTCATTTTTTTGACGTCTTTTATGACAAAATTTGATGATTGATTCACAACGGACGTTTTATTGGTTTGTTATTTGAGATGATATTTATTACTCTTATTCTACGTATTTCCTTTATGCACATGGCGGAGGGATCAAATATCCACAAATAAAAACTAAATTCTAAGTCCTATATTAATTTACATTTGATTTATATATGAAAGTTAATCATAAAGTAATATTATGATTGATTATAAAAATCGAAGAATTAAATTGTAATTGTGTCTATTTTTTCTGTTGTAGAAGTGGATACCGAAATTGTGAAGTCAAAACGAACTACACGCGAACGACCGATTAGTTTTTCGAAGATGGATGACATTAAGAATCGTTGGGAGAGCACCAGCCAACAAGGAAGACGCGAAGTTCAGCGCGAGGCTAGGAAGGAAGAAATCGCAGGAATCCGTTCGCGATTATTCTTGGTAATTTCAATAATTTGTCATATAAAACTATAAAAAAAAATATTACGATAAAAATCATAATTTTTGTTATTACTTCATGACAGACTATCGATTTAAGGAAAAAGTCACACGTCCGTTATAACGGTTTAAATATTAACGTAGATGTTTGTATTTTTTTTATTATCGTTATGCGTGTAATATCAGAAAAGCGTAAATTGAACTGTCAGAGAACAGCTGTACATATTTCTCTCGCAACGTTTATTGATCAGTTCTTATTTTTTTCCGCAGAAACTTGCTCCTTAAATACAGATTTTTCCTTTACATCGCACTTTGCTGATGTGACATTAAAAAAATTTTTCTTTTTCTTTGATTTGCAGGGTAAACAGGGTAAAATGAAGGAAATGTATCAACAGGCGGTAGCTGGAAGCGACCGTGTTACAAAGATAAACGCGGCGGAGGAGATTCAGCACTCGACAACCCACGCTCGTTCCCTCAAAGAGAGATTTGAACGGGGTGAGCCAATCGCGGCGTCAGACGACGAAACCGACAGTAAACCGAAACCGGAGAAAGCCGACGAGGAGGTGATCGCAGCAGGTATAAAATGGACTTTCAGCAATTAAATGACTTGCGAATTGCGGAGACTAGCGAATTGCAAAAAGACATAGACGTCAAGATGGTAATTTGAAATAGACTGACGAAATGTTTGATCACACTACTTGTTACACTATAATTGCGAACATATAGGACTGGAGAGGAATTACGTGATGAACTTAGAAGTACCCATGTAACGAAAGTCAAATTGCAGTGAAAAATATAACAAGTCGTTTCGTACTTTGAATATATGAATAGTTATTTATATAGTTGCCAACGAATTGTACCTAATAATTTTTATGTAACAGATTAACAATTCTTAAAGATCTTATAGATATTAATCTACACCTGTCTTATATGAACTCTTTCGAGAGAAAAACTCAAAAGAAAGTAACCTAGTATTTCTTATAATACGAGACGTTCAGCGCAAAAACTCTCTACAGAATAGAAGACTGTGTTAAGAGGTCATATTATTATTTATCGGCTTTATATGAGAAATTATTTTTGTTCCCAACAGAAATAGACCGTTATGAATTGTCGAATTGCGTAGGGTGAAAGTATCTGTACTAATTGACAGTTTAAAGTTACGAGTGATTTATGATAATCTATATTTATAATAATATATGTTGGTCACGCCGCACAGGCATCAGCAGGAAGTCCCGGTCGCTCTTTTTGGAACTAGACGCGACTGCAGCAAAAACAGGACGTCCAGTGACGCCAGTTCATCCAAAAACGCCAACCGAAACCTCACGACGTGCACGAGACGTAAGTTCAGTTTCTTTTATCTATTACACATATTATATTTAGTTAAGTCAAGCTTATGATTTATTTTAGTAATTATTAAAATATGAATTTATTTGCTAAAATTACGAGAATAAAATTTCTATTTTTTATGTATAGTTTATTAAACATTTGTAACTTACAAAAATTATTAAAATGTATATTTTTCTCTTTTATTAAGAGAAAGTATCTATATGTTGAAAAATTTAAGTAATTTAAAATTACTAATTGTTTAAAATAATTAAATATTTTTTACATTGCTACATTGATCAATATAAGAATTATACACACACATACACAAAGTAACATAGTTAAACATAGAAAATATCTCTTTGAAGCAAATATATCTCGTTTTGGAATATAAGGTCTTCTACTAAAAATTGCACATGCAATGTCAATAACGCCTCTAGTAATGATAATTTTTAAAACATTTGTGAGAAAGGCGTTCATGGGTCGTCAAGTCTCAGACGATGTGGTGCGCAGTTCAGACGCGACCGAGGAGATCCAAGTAGAAACGTTGGAAATTTCGAACAAGTTCAAATTCTTCGAGTCCTATAAGGCACCGGAGAAACAGCGGAAGCAATTTCGCATTACGCCTCCTCGTGATGGTCAAGTCAAGGTTCGACCCTTCGACTTTGTTGTTGTTGATTGATTCATGTCTGTGCCAATTTTCTCTAACAATTTTATGCGTGTCAACTAATTAACGGTCATGATTTATCATATTTATTTGGTGGAGTAACTTTGCTTAAGAATTTTTACCGTCTTGTAGAATTACAAGAATGTAAACAGCAGGAATAATTAAATACCCTAATTAAATAATATAATTTCATTTTTATTGTTTAAAATATATTGTTTATTTAATAATTATTATTATTAGAGACTAACAAAAATAGACGTATATAAAATTTTTATAGTATAATATATGGAGATATATAATATATTTTAATGCGATTCTCTTCTATTTGTGAAAGTACTATCATCGTTTATATATGTAGTTTATATACGTATATCTATATTATACTCCGAGTAGATACATTGCATTTATCAATTTTATCGATTTTATTATCAATTTAATCTGAAGGATTTTCAGATTATTGATAAAGAAGAAATATAAAGATATCTTAACACAATTTACATTATTATTGGAGATACAAAAGATAATTTGTATTGTAAAAGGATATTGGTTTACCAAGAAACAGCATGATCTCATTTTCAATTAAGATAGGACAAAATGTTTGCACTCATACGTGTTTGACTGTTTTAAGTTGCATCACGTCTTTAATCATCCGCGCATTTTATATACGTTTTATTTTCAGTTTGATACTAACATGGTTTTGTATTATTTTCCAATTATACATGGCTCTCTACGTTAAGTAACATTTATCCCTTAAACCTTAATTACTTAAAATTTTATTTAAAATATTAACTTCTAATTCTAGGTAAAGAGCAAAGTAAAATTATTAAAACTAAAATTGCCGTATCTATACGTAATTAAAAGTAGATCTGAAGTCATTTTCTTTAGATTAAGTAATAGCTGCATTCTCTCCAACTTCCTCTCGCAACTTTCTGATATTTTATTGCGAATAAAATAAATTTTCGAATGATATATAAAAATGTAATACGATATTTAAATTGTATTTTTTATAAATAGCATTTTTTATATATTTCTATTATATAACAAAGAAAGTATTCCGTTGAAATCAAAAATCTTATTTTTGATATTGTACGTATATCTTGGGAATGAAAAATATTCGTGGAGTTCAGAGAATGAAACGTTTGTTATCTCGCAAGAATAGCAACCCCTTCTTTCATCCATCGATACAGCCTCGGCGTGAGATGCGAGTTTATCGATAATTATCAAAGCGCGACAACGAGTCTCACCATCGTTCGCGGACGCGGCTTAATAAAAGAGGGCCTCGTGCATCTCTTGGGGAACCGACGGCAATGCGCCTCGCGCGGAACGCACAACACGACGAGTCGATTCCAACAAACCGGGCTGTCCTTGAACCCCCTCCCGAAGTGGTCAGCGCAGCAGCAGCCATACTTTTACCGTTAGTATTCCTACATCCTTCCATTCGTGAAGAGCAAGCGGGGCAACACAAGCGGACCGGGTACCGGCGCGGCGCGGGCCCGGGAACCTTAACAGAGGGAAGGCGCGACGCGCGACGGGGCCCCTCGCAGTAACTCTCTCTCACACACACACACACACTCCCAGGGGAGGAGGGCATACACCGTCGGTCCCCTATCCTCTTGTGAACGGCATAGCAACCGGCTGTCGTACGAACTTCTCACGAATCGGAGAGGAGAGCCTCCCTCAAGAAGCGCGCCGAAGTGGCGGACCGGACTCGCGCAGTTTGAACGACGACGCTCAGTCTCGTTCCGCTCGCCGAAGGGGCTTTAATAATCACGGAAAGGTAATTATCGGCCCGACAAACGCTTCGGTTACGTTCTGTAATCGCGATCGGAAATACTGTGCTTTTAACACCTAGTTACTCGAAGTCTCTTCTCAGGCGGCACATTCTGAAAAAAGTGATGCAAAAAGCAGCCTGATGAATCGTTAATGGCTGGATATAATGAGCGTTCCGGTTCATACTTAATGATCCGCGAACAATTTGCATATTCTTCTTCGAGACTCTGTGAAATCGCTACTTAATACCCCGAATTCCGGTTATAATTGAAGATTTTTTTTATTAATATTTCATGAGAGTGATATATTTATTTATAAGATCGAGGGAAAGACTTTTTCTGGCAATTAATTGGAAAGCAATTGACATGGCGGTTATAAAATCATGCTCTGTGATTTCAATCAATTTTTCAGAATACCGTTTGGTAATTGAGGTTTCTTCAAGGAGGAATATTGTGTTCTACTTTCCATAAAAATTACACACCTCGTGTACATGAACGTTCCATTTACTTCGGAGTATTACTGTTCGATTGGATTTTTCGGAGCACTGCATATGATATCTAATATTCAAGCTTCCTTAATAAACATCGCGATGTACTAGTTTCAATTCATGGCCGTTACGACAATTGAAAAATAATTAATTTTAAATAATTAATTCGCACCTCAATTAATTGTTTAATTATATTTGCATTTGATTTATTAATATAAATCGCAGATCATATTTTTCGGAATATCACCTGTATGTTTATTAATACACGAGATCGTAATCATAAATTATTCTACATCGAACGATACATTCTAATGCACTTGCGAATACAGTGAAAATTGCGTGAGACTTTCATATGAAAGTTTCAATTACTTGATATTTAGAGCAAACGATTAATATGTGCAACCGCAATGTGTTTTCATCGAATTGTTAATTGTCCGTAATTGGCCTCCGACGAATCGAGATCTCTTCGTCATATGATTATAAGAGCGTTTCCGTCGACGATGAAGGAACGGACGTCGCTCGGGGGGCGCAATCTCGCCGTGGCTTGATTTACCGCTTGACGTGCCGGCAGAGGGATACCGTGTGATCAAATATCCTTTCTGGACTGGTGATTTTATGGAATTCTGTTGGAAGTACTCTCCCGTAGATCCTCTCGACTCCATTACCACAGCGCGAAATCCAACCAAGACTCGCGATATTAAGATGTTGCTAAGCGTTTTCTTTTTGTTTCGTTAGAACCGAAAATGAAATTGTATTCTTTATATTAGTTAATTTAGAGACCATTCAAGCATATCAAAGTGTCTCTCATTTTAGAGAATACAGAAATATCCTTGTTACAGCAATCACATTCTTATAACAATTAACTCTTCTTATTAATTTATTATTCTCTGCTTTTATATAATTTCCTGTAATGTTTGCATTGACAGACTTATAATTTCGATTTAAAAAATAAATAGTAGCATAATTCACTTTTGTACCGTGACGGAAATTTCCTTGATTCAAAACTAGATGAGGTAAACTCTAATCCAATACTGTACGGGAATTATCGGTTTTCTATTTTCTGTCATTTTCGAACGAAAGTTCTCGCTGAATTAATTTGATGTTTATTTATTATTCAATAAGCACTGTTTGACAAAAATTATTTTTCTTTCTCTTTAAAGTACCATAGTAAATTTCCCGAAAACTTTTTCGCGTTATAAGCATGATTGGTAAAATTTACGTAGCACATTAGAATGTTGAGTAAAATGGAATGAAATGTTTTTAGTCATTTTTTAATACTTCTTTGTGACAAAACGAAGACTTATTTCTGAATGAAGTCTACAACCATTCTACCTACACACAATATACAATTTTATTAACAACATCGTGTTTAATGCAAAAAAAATTTTAGAATATATAATATGATACTTCGGACCAGAATTTGATTGTTGTACAATGTAATTTTAGTTATCTTTTTTTGGTTCTACTTTTTTATTGCAAAATAATTAAAAACAATTAATTAATTACGCAAAGCCTGATTGAAACGTATGATTATACTAGCTTTTCATCTTTTTTCAAATTTATATTATACAAATTGTTTACTTCAATTCCAATTACTTTAACTATTTCCTTCCAATTATATACAATATATAACGTGTCTGTTTCAAGTTCTTAAGAATATCCTTCTCAAAATAAACGTCTCGTACTTTTTGCTGCAGTACTGATTCGTTGGCATAAACGAGTAGCGAATGGACAGATCAAGTGACGGCAATTGACCGTTACAGAGTGCGTATACCATTCTTAAACCTGTCAATTTGTCGCCATTAAATGCTAACCTTGAAGCGTACCACAACCCTTTTGTCTAACTAAAGTCGACTCGTCAGCATCACCTAGTCCCATCCCGATCGGAACTAGCGCAAGGGGGTCTTTCCATTGTAAAATATCGTAAGGCTCGAACAACCTTCGATCATTCCACGTGATCAGGAATCAGGTTTTCGACTTACCTGACCCACTTGGGTTCAGGTATAAACGACAGACCGATTAAACGATTGAAAAGGACCAAAACCTTTGTGTCTCGAAAAGGATTTTATTTTCTGTAATAGAAACCTTTGTTAATATTACAGTATCTTACAATTAGTTGAGATATACAAAGCATGCGAATGTTCATTCATTTACTTATGCACGTTGCATGGCTTCCTTTATTTAATATTTTCTTTTTTCAAGATTGTAATTTGAGTGCGATTGAATTTTTTATCCATAAATGTACTTATTTTTTCTTTAAAATGTTATCTCAATTCTCAGAAATATATTACATTTACTTATATCATTGTAATATAATATTTTTAATTAAAAGGAAAAGATTACATACTTTTTACATAAGATTTATAATCATACCACTCACGCTTGATTCAGGATCCTCGAAGTGACTCATGCCGGATATGATTTATAAAAAGAAACATTTCGGCCGTCAATCTCCGGCTTAGGTGAATCCTCCGACGATGTATTATGACTCAAACATTCAGTTTAAAATTATCAAGCGATATACAATACACATGAGGTGTGTTTTTAATCGAACATCTGTCCTTGTCGTCTTATCATATAATCTCTCTACGAATTTTGAAACAGCATTAATTATGTGAATATGTTAATATATGTCGAAGATATATTTAATTTGCAATAATTTTATGATATATTGGCGATTTACAATATTTTGGAATGAATGGGAAAGAAAGAAATAAACATGATTAATATACAAATAGTTCGATAAAGCTACAAATATGCATGTACATATATAGTATATATATGTATAATTTACATTGAATTATTTAAGATCCCATTTAATTTCTATTTTTTATATGCAAAAACTAAATATCTACATAAATTTTATTAATCTAATTAATAATTAATAAAATTAATCCTTTAAATATAAAATATTTTTGTGCAATTTAATTTTGTTTTTTTGATTCTGAAATACATACTTTGTATCTCCGAATCTATTCGTGTTAAATTAAAAAAAATATATGATTTAGGGTAATATAATTTAATTAAAAATTAGTTTAGAATGATATACAATATTATTCTCCGAGTATGATTGAAAGTATTTTAATAATTTGGTACAATGCAAGACGAAAAAATTGGTCAACTAGAAATACATTTTTTTAAATAAAAAAATCAATACATATTTCAAAAATAAAGAATTTTATTATGAAATATTGTTCGAAATGTTATATTATATACAAAAATTAATTATTAAATAGAATTAAAATTGTTTTACTTGATAACGAGATAATAATAAAGTTGTGTGATTTTTTTCAACTTACATTTAATTATTATATATTAACATATATTTTTTTTTGCAGATGGATTCACCAGATCGTGAGATCTACCGCGATCCAGATGTAGTCAGAGCCGACGACAGGGTGGACGAAGTGGTGCATACGGACACGGCGAGGAAGATGCTGTCCATCTTTCGGCAGATGGAGGAGAACGCGTGTAAGGAAGAACTGCCGGAGGGCCCGAAGCCCTTGAAACGTTTCACACCGCCTCCCGAGGATAAATTCGCCAAAGCAACGGCCTCAGACTCGGAAGAAGGCGAGGATGAAGAGGGCGAGGAAACCGACGGTGATGAAAGCGCTGAGGAGAGAGATCCCAACTACGTCCGCGCTTCTGATAAGGTTGACGCAAGATTTTTTTATTAACGAAAAATTGAACAATTTAAAAGAAATATAAATATATGAGAGAATAATTATAATACAATAAAAACGAGAAAAAACGAGAATAATTACAAGAAGTTGCATGTCTTATTATTATATCTCTATAGATATTATTTTATATTTTTTGCATAAAATGTAACGTTAAAATAAGACTGAATTATTGATTTAAATTATGAAATTTTTTAGTTACTTTTTGTACTTCTCTAACAAACTCTGGTGTTTCTTCACACCAGATGTATATAATTTCCTAATTATTAATAAATGTGAAGATCTACGAAATCTCGAAAGTGGCCGGAGCAAGATTGCCTAAACATGTTATTAGGCGGCTCTAAAAAGTCGGCACGAACTTTCGAGACAGGTCGTTGTCCCACGTTCAAAATTTCGGGAAAGCAGTTCTTTACTCCCGATCGGCACGACCCCACCCTATAATTCATGGAATAATTTCACCTGTTATCGGGCTAGGTGGAGGACGAGTTCTTGAAACAGGCGCAGAACGCGGCGCGCGCCAAGACCCTACGTGCTAAGTTCGAGCACTGGGAGGAGACTGATGGCAAGGTCAGCAATCACCATGTCGCCGAAATAGAGATGGCCCAGGGTACGGGCGAGCAGTCCAGCATAGAATCGGCGAGCAGTCTTAGAGCTCGTTTCGAATCCCTCGGCTCGCAGGCCAACGAGTCCCCGCGCACACCGAAGGTCAAAGTCAATCGATTTGTGGTAAGTACATTTTCTTGATCCATATAACCGCGCACGTCTCCTCGACTTGGTCCAATATCACATTGTGACTTGTCGTTTGTGTAATCACCGTTATTCTTCCTGCATCTATTATAATTAATCTCACTTCATATTACCACTCCTCCTGATTTTTAATTAGTATTGATTAAATTTGGAGAACATGTCTTTTTGATTCTTTTTCTTTTTACCGCAACAATATGCTTTTCTGATTAGTTGGTTGTAATAGTGCTTTTCTTAAACAATTGTAATACTTATAAAATGTTGTCACATAAAATATATTTGCAAGTGTTAAATTAATATTTTTTTTAATCAAAAAGTGTAAGTTGAAAAAATTATATAATACATGTGATTATTATTCTATTCTCATCAAGTAAAGTAAAATTTTGCGATTTTAGGTAATACTACTTTTTAAGTAAAGCACTATTGCAAGTAAAAATCAGTCAGAATTGGAGATTATCTTTTCTAATAAATTCCCATTTTATTTATGGACGATTCGGCATTGTAAAGTATGCGCATGGTGTGATTTTGAATTGTTGTTAGTCTGCCTGTGCTTAATATATCTGTTTTTATGTTAAAATTATAAGTGTATTTTATTCATTGAGCATGTTTGTATTGCGTCCAAAAAGTAAAAACAAACGTAATATAATATGAAATATAATATTTCAAAATAATTACCTGATATTTTTTTAATTAACTTTTTATTGGATGTTAATAAATTATTGTAGCATTTTGACGCAATTCGAATCAATGCTTGAAAATGCACGATTAAGATTTTATTGTATTTTATTTTATTTTATGTGGCTCATTTTTTATGTAACGAAAATTTATATATTTTTGCACTCTTTATTACAATAGTAATATATATATGTGTGTGTGCGTGTATGTGTGTGTGTGTGTACATTCTGCGATAAAAGTTAATTGTTGCTTATAATAATTTAATACAATAATTTTCCATCTCATATATTTAATAGATTTTACGAATATAAATTCATGTTGTTTATTATACTCTTTTTATATTATAACATCTTTTTATGGAACAAATAAGATAATTTGTCATCGCATTACCGCTCTTAGTTTTTTTTGCAATAATATTGCAATTATAATATTTTAATTTTTAACATATAGTACATAAGTCATGATGATATATATTTCTAAGCTATTTATTTATTTAGTTTTTATCCGTGATTAAGCAATAAGAATTAAAAATATGTTTATTTTATAATATAAAAATAGCAATTTACTCTACAACAACAATCTAGTCTACATAACTAGAAGTTACAGCTCTAAATGTTATAAAACTAAAAGTTATAGATTAATTCATTGTGTTTCTAGAATTATTTTCCGTTTGCAAAGAAATGTATTATATTTCTTTTCGAACGAAATATTGATGCAGTATAAAAAATAAATTCAATGTTTACTCACTAACATAGCGTAAAGTTGATTCTTTATTGTTCATTATTATGTGATTGTGAAATAAATGTATAAAATTGCAGTTTTGCAGATAAAAAAGATAAAAATAGCTCGATAACTTAATAAAAAAAATTATGTGAAATTAAAATAATTAGACAAAATTTAACAAATACACATCCTACATTAAGATTAAAAAAATTTCCTGCAAGCAACGACATTTTACCTTTACTCCTTTATAGATTTTTATTGAGCATGATTAATGTAATTTTCTTTTTTATTTAGCGTTATTGTTATTACATTTTCTTTCTTTACTTTTGCCTGCGATATTTTGGTCAAAATCCTGCCCGCTTGTGTCGTGTGTAATGTAAAGTAAAAGTAATCACAAACAAAATCAAGTACTCTTTTTTTTTTGTAACGTGAAGCAGTAAAGGAAAAAGAGAGAAAGAGAGAGACGAAGGAAATACACACCTGAAGATTAATTCGATTACGAGAAAGGTGAGAGAAGAAAGAGAAGAAGGATTAATGGAAGAGGGAGCGTCGTTGAAATCGCGATGGAAAAGCAATTTTTTTAATCTCGCGCATTAAGTAACGGCAATAAAATGTTCGATTATCGTCGATTATTGTAGCGACTTTGCGTTTTCTTAGAGATGATTTTAACACACTTGACGTTATGTTCTTATAGTATATCTTAGCCTGTAGACTGTATCATATGTTATGTGTTAATATTTTATTGTACTACGAGAATTTGTGCGATTGTTGGATTTGTCGAGCGACTGCATCCAATTGCCAATTAGAATGGAAGATATATGCTATCGGAAAATCAATTCCAAACAGATGGCAATAAACCGTTCGAAGCAATATGCCAAGTCACGCAGAAGAAAAAGCATGCAGGAATTTAATACATATTGATTAGCAGATTATAGCGTTATAAAAAGATTTAGATTTATTAATCATTATTTTTTTCTTAAAGATTTACATTAAATGATAAATTGAATTGGACAGCTGCAAAATTTCATTGCATATGTAATAGAAATCTTGCTTTATCAGTAATCTATGGAAATAGAATATTTATTGCATAGAACGCTCGACTTATTCTAATATATATATATATAACAAAGAGAGAACTTTATTATCTACTAATTTACTTTATATGATAAAAGACGAACATCCATCTTTCGTGTCATACGTATGTTGGCTTTATCGTTGAAGAATTTAAAAAAAAAATAATAAATTCTTTCCCACATACGTGTGATGCATCGCTGTAAAACATAAGATGGATTCGCTTTTCACTAGCAGTGAAATTCGTAACGATGTGCATTCAATTTTTACGTACTTTGTTAATTCCACAATACGCCATCATTTGTTAATTAATTGAAAATTCATATGTAATTGTAAACGGATGTCATTAAGCATCTTATATTTCAATTTTTTATTGAAATGGACTAAACCTTGTAAACTATTATAATACACACTGTGTACCAAATTATATTAAACTCCTGAGTAAATTTTTCAAACTATAATTCTGATTTGAACGGATTTAAATCTTCATGACTAATAACTAATTTATCATATGATGTGCCTTTTCGACTTTTTTATATAAATGATTCGCTTTTTAAAACAATACATAAATAAAATGAAAACCGAAATAATTAGGATCTACTATAAGTCTAATATAAAATATTAAACTATAAAATATATTGAGCAAATGTAGGAAATAAAAATATATCACAGTATAAACATCGACATGTATTATTTCGGCTTGTCGATGTCTACATATAATGAAACAGATTCAAAGTTTTCTTGTCTCATCGTTACGATCTTCTTCTGCTGCTTTAGATTTTTAATTTTCATAAGTGCCAAGTTTTTTGTTGAATGAAGAAAGAGAGAACGAGAGAAACAGAGCGAGAGTAAGAGTGCGAAAGGAAAAAAAAGTGCGTGAGAATGACGAACGAGAAGTAATAGGTAATGCTTCCTCAAATTTAATGTGTGCGATAAAGGCCTGAACGAAGAAGTATCGGGTACTGTCGAGGTGTTCTGGGGCCGACTAGCCGTTAGGACCGTAGCTATTTCGATCGCTTTTACAAATTTCGAATCTTTTTACAGCTTAGCGCAGTGGTACAGTAGATTTTTATACTCGTGTGAAAAAAGAAACGGAAACGACAATTTCGTTTTTGTGTCGTCGCGCTCGAGCCTGCTTCCCCGCATTTGTGATTCGAATAAAATCCTTCGTGAACGTTATTATATTTGTATCTCGGCACTTGTGCAATATGATAAACTGTGACTACGTATTTGTTGTTTTACAGAAAGTGCAAATGTCTATAAATTAATTTACTTACCCTGAGAACAAAAATTTACTAAATCTTAATAATATTTTTTTAATAGTACTTTAATTTATTTCTAGTAAATAAATATTTACTTAATACAAAAATTATAATTTAAATTAATTGTTTTTGTACCTAATTGATACAAATATATGTTTACATTTAGTAGGTATCCTGCACTAGTACTATTTAAACAAATAATTATAAAAATTTAGCATATTTTTCTTCAGTATAGTTGTATTGTATCCTAAATACGTTATATTATTTTTCTGTAAGTGAAACGTTCCCTTCCTATGGTTTTATCTTATTATGACATTTTTATACTGTCATGTCCGTTATTTTTTATATCTCTATTTGCCACAAGATTGTATAAAATTTCGCAAATTCTTAGAAACGACATATTTTGCTGCTATTGTTAGGTATGAAAGCGTCGTAAATGTAGAGGCATGATGCCACTTTCGGCATATTTTCTACTTCCAGAGAAGAAGCATAAGTATATGAGCGACTTCGGTCATATAATATCAGGGTAAAAACGCTGTCGCGTTCCTCGAATTTTAATCGAAGGACCCATTTTTAAAAGAGAGCATTGTACGATTTCTTTAGATATGTATCTGAGTACTGTAGAAAGAAAGAAAGAAAGATCGAACATGTATATTCTCGACAGCGAATATTTCTCCGTCTTCCTTTTTTCGTTTGTGCAATGATAATTTCCGTTGCGAATGTGCAAATTGCGAATTACGAATTATTTAAAAGAATTAAGAGATTAGTGCGATTTATAGCAGGAAGCGCGCTAAGCTGATTTTAATTTACGAAAGATCTGCTCCGTTGACCGAGATGCTGACGGAGATCTCGCGTGACAAATTGCGAGTCCTTGTTAACGGCCTTTCGAATTCTTCTGATTTGTATAGCATATATAGCGATAATAGTCTAGTTTACTGCGTCTTTTAGCGTATTATTTCTATTGATGTATAACGATCTGGTTCTGTTTATCTTTCACGTGTAACATTTATTACGATAATACACAAGTGATAAATAAAACAGGTGCTAAATTTATCTAATAAAGGAGGAGTGGGATAAAATCAAGGAGAGAGAGAGATCTCTTGATGCGAGAAACGTGGCCTTTCTTCTTCTTTGCGTAGTGTATGTACATATTTCTCTTAGAGCATCTCTCTTTACACAATCTATCATACATTCAACATACACAAATCTCCGGTATCCGGCTGTTATTGCGGAGTATTCGTAAGCATTAAATTTCCTCTGACGTAACAATCGCGCAGGAGATCCAGACGACATGCGCGGAGGTGTGCGAGAGTTGCGAGAAGAAGGTCTACCCCTTGGAGAAAGTTGAGACAAATAACAAAATCTTCCATAAGCAATGCTTCCGGTGTCTGCAATGCAATTGTATTTTAAGGTAATGAAAAAAGACATGTAAACTTTTGCTTATATTAGATTTAGATAGGATTATAATATACAATATATAATATTTCCTATATTAAATATATTTCGCTTAAAGAAAATGAAGATTCTATAAGTGTCAAGAAATTCAATGTCAGTTGTTGAAAATGTTTTAATAATTAACACAATGTAAATATATGTATAATTATGGAGATATTAGGTCCGTGACAGTAACAATTATATTTTAATTATATTGTAATATGTACATACATAAATATTATAACGTGCGTTATAATCAATCGCGATTTTTGTTTCTTTTTTCGAATTTTTATTCTTCAATTAAATGCAGTCACGAAATTATTGTTAAATATAGTTATGAATGATTATTATATCATTGTAATGTGTTCAAACAGGATGGACTCCTTTACTCTGAATAACGGCAAGCTGTACTGTATCCCGCACTTCAAACAACTCTTTATCACACGGGGAAATTATGACGAGGGCTTCGGTGTCGACCCACACAAGAATAAATGGGCGACAACGAACTCCAGCAATTCCACGAGCCCATCGCCGATCGCGGTCTCGAACGGCGATCTCTGATTTTTCAAGTCTTCCACCTCAATTCTTCCCTGGCTATAAATCGCTATTGAATTTTAGTCGAATGTTAGGTGGATCTAGATAAAGATTTGAAGAAGGAATAGACCCTCTCTATACATTGTAGGATGGATGTCAATCATCGCGGAAGAGATACAATACCTTTTACGATGTTGTTCCCCTTGTGAGTGGTAAATTAGATCCACCTATGATCACAACGCGATGATAATTATGATAAATTGTACATTTTATTACGTTATTATCGCGTACATATGAGAACGCGTAATTGTATATTTAATAACGGTAATTGGAATCAGTCGCGATGATCGGAGACTCGCTCCGAGAAAATGGTCTCTGCATGCGAAAATCTTTTCGAAATGTAAATCTTGCCAAACGCATTGAACAAATAAAAGGAATGCACATGTTTTTTTCTTTAAATAAATCGATAATAAATACTATTTAAATTACATCGAGGAAATAATGAAAAATGCGCGCGATTTTTTGGTTCGTCAAATTGCGTTGCATTAAAATGTATTTTAAAGTTCGTAATGAAAGATCAATGAAAAATTGAAGAAATTGATTCTGATATAATCGCAATGTGCTATATATATAAATTATATTCTCAATTTTTAAACTGTATTGTCATCGCTCACCATAAAATTTGCTTGATATTTGTTACTATTATTATTTTATTGATTTTATTATTATTATATTATAATTATTATTAATATTATTTACGTGCGTCGCACTTGGTATTATTTTATTATATATGTTGTATAATACAATATTACATTACGCTTCGTAAATCTTGTATCCGAACCTGTCCCTCAATAAATAAGAATTTTATACATCTATATTTATTATAATCTCCGCAATATAAACATTTAGAACAACAAATATAATTTATTTGTAGATAAAATAATAATTTTATAATGTATTTATATTGACTGAGTGTTGTCGTCATTATGAAAAATATTTTAGTAATTAGCTTCGTGTTCTCAGTTTTATTATTGTCTCATAATATCTGCGTCAAAAGTGAGTGGCAGTTAACAAATATGATATCGTTATCATTACGCAGTGCATCACGAAAGTAAAATATAGATGGCGAGACTCGCGCGTAAGAAGCATCGAGCATAGTGGTAGCCATATTTATAGTGCGCAGCCATCCGTTGAGGCAGCTCATTCACGAGAGTTTAAAAAAACTTTTTGCAACGAATTCTTATCAAATCAAATATATACGTATGTAATTTTATCATTAATAATGCAAATTTATTAATTAAAAAATTAACAATTATTGAATAAAAATAATATAAATTGGAGTATAGTTGTAAAATAGAGCTAATCGAGTTTATTTGAAGCTATAATTACCAATTGGAGTGATTAATCCAGTAACAAGTAAGTCAACAATTTTTTATTTGCTTTAATCAACCTTTTTGCTACAAGAACAAATATCATTCTGAGAATAATTTTTATTTCCTTCAGTCGATAATATATGTATTTAAATTTCTTTGTACACTGTTTTGTCAACATATGATGAAACTTCTTCGATGTCATAATGTGATATACATTTTTCATGTATCTATCAATCCGTGTATAATATTACAGCTTTTTCTATAATATTTTATATGTATTATACATTATAAATATGTACACTGTAAAAAATAAAATGTTAATTTTAACTCAAAGATGTTGAGTGGATTTTCTGAGACATGCAAAAATGTTAACATTAACACAAAAATGTTAGTTTTAACATTTTTGCATGTCTCAGAAAATCCACTCAACGTCTTTGAGAGTTAAAATTAACATTTTATTCTTCACAGTGTATAATGATTGTTACGTCCGGCGCGGCAACGTGGCACAATTCGCACCCCTTACCTTTTTTTCTTCTTTTCTATTTACGCGCCGTATGAATTTGCCTGCGTGCCTGCAGTAACTCTTTGTAGCGCCACGCTAGCGCGAGGGCACCACCGCCCGGCAACGCGCGCCAGCTAATTAGTATATTAATTTTCTACTCTAATTGAATGCATTGAGGCACAAGAAAGGAAGGTAATATCGGTTGGTACAGCCGACGCTCCATTGCATTACTCTTATTAAGTCATTCTTTCTCTTTTCGCATCTCTTATGCGACAATCGAGCACGACGGCTGCGCAAGAATACTGTCCATCACGCGACATATTCAAAGATTCGCGCTGACAGGTAGGCCGGAAGCCTACTATGAAAAACTGTAATTTGGAATGCGGCATTATCCTCGCGCCTCCACACTCGTTAGCGAGAAACCGATCAGATACAATGTCTTTAATAAAATCAAGTAACATCTGTATTAAAACTCAGGATGACACAATCATTATATTAGCGAGATATTAAATAAGCGATGATATGATTTATCGCCTAATTTTCGTGGAAATTCGGCGTTTCCGCACACCGCGGCCACCAAGCCTGGCCCTATATAAGCGAGCAAATCTGGTGACTCTGATTCAGATTCTCTCGTTCTATTGTACAGTCTAAAATTGTAGCCATTATTTGATCGATAAAGTTTATCAAGTCAATACATTGATAATTTCCGTCGGTCCGTACAAGCCGCGAAACATAGTGCGAGGTAATTAATAAGTTAATTAAGATAAGTAATGCGCATCTCGTTTTCTTTCTCTCTATCCGAACGGAATTCGGCATAATTCAGTTAGTTTCCGCGCGTTTTGTAGTGAACAATAAGTTAGTCCGAGTTGACTTAATCATAAGTGGCTGTGACGGTGATTCAGTGCTTTAATTGCAGTTTTCCTTGCGTTTGACTATTTTATCCGAGGAACGGTTTCCGTGTCCCGGCAAATTCCATTACTTTCTGATTTCTTTGATACGTAAACTCACGAGTGACTATTCGTTCACGGGTCGATTATACGCAGTGCGAACGCGATGTGCTGTTAGTATGGTAATCGTAATCGCTGTGTGAAGTTCAGCTTTATTAACAATAACGTTTATAGCACTGGTTTCGCCGTATCAGTGAACTCTCGCGGTGACGTTGCATCAACGCGTTAATTTCAGTAGCGATGTGTATTATGTTAATTTCACGCGCCTCTTATTTACCAATTTTCTCGCGGCGCGGAGAATTAAATTGATCGAATTGTGCAACTCTCTTCTTTTCTTTCATTTTCGAACAAATAAAGTTATATGTACATACATAGAACGTTGATGAATCATCTGTATTTCTATCATTTTCTACTCTCATTTCTTCTTCGCTTCCCTCTTTTTTTTCTTTTCTTTTTTTCTTACTCTCTTTTATATATATATATATTTTTTTTTTTTTTATATATAGTGGACAGCGCGTTACCAAAAGGGGCGTTCTGTTATTCTTTTACTTTTCATTCTTTCTTACTATCTTTCTTTCTTTCTCCTTCTTCTCTTCTCTTTATCTGCTTTTTCGTCTCTTCTCTCTTCCTTTTTTTATATATATATAGTGAACAGCGCGCTACCAAAAGGGGCGTTCCGTTTCTCTTTTTCTTTGTGTGTATTGTTTGTTTTGATCGCTACTCACCGGTTGTTCGATGTGCTAACGTATTCTTACCTGATTAGAAATTACATACTCTCAATATAATTCAGCTCGTTAGTAAAGCTGATTTTTCATGTGCAGCACGCTGCGGCAGCAAAATGTCATGTGACACAAATTTTCGAGAACTGATTGGAAGTGCGTCACAGTGCGACACCTCACAAAAGATTTTTAACCAATAATAACATTTTGCTGCCGCAGCGTGCTGCACATGAAAAATCAGCTCAAGTCGCCCAAGCGACCTAATCACGGTGAATTCTCGCATAAAGCGTGGCTTGAGAATTTTCCTTATATTACTATCTTTCGTTATTTTTATCGACAACGTCCATATATATATATATATATATATATTTTGTTCATATATAAATACCGTTAATCATGATGGGTTTTGACTCACTCAGCAGGCTATGCGCCGCTCACGGAGAGCGGGCTGGCGGGTCCAATTAAGAAGGCTGTGGAGGCAGTGTATGGAAACCGGCGAAGTCGATGAGACAATTTTGTCGCGCTTCTCGAGACCTCCGAACCCATCCCGGCCGTCCACTGAGCCATCGGCCATCCTCATCCCGACGCCGACCGTAACGATCATACCTAAGGTACCACCCGCTTCTGCTGTTCCGCTCGCCCTTCGGCAATCCCCGCGACCTAACGCGGATTCTTCCGCTCCCGGTGGTCTGCCCCGGCCGCCCGACGGATATCGACGCCTCCACCCGAGCCATCGTATCATCCTCCCCCGTTGACTCCCCTCCTCCTATCTTTCCTCCGAGATGATGATACCACGATTAAGTCTGAGGGGCTCGATGAGCAGGTCCCTTCAGGGTACGAAAGGTGCATTTTAAATTCTCCTCTTTTGATTCTGCGCTAATTGATGCTAATGATTAAAGTTTTCCCGCGTAATGGCTCCTCCAGCGATCCACTTCAGGTTATTGGCGCGTGCCACGAAGCCGCGGATTATACACAATGTATGTATTGTAAATAAGATGCTCTCGATAGTTTGCAGTTCTTAAATATTATGCCATTTATATAAATATTCAGAGACTAGAGTGTACATAGACTCTTTTGTAGCACAGCTTTGCTTTCTCATGTAGTTAAAAATGCACTTAATGCCTCGTTGAAGATAACTAGTCAGAAGGAAGCTGACGTGTCAGCTCGGCCCACTGTCGCTTCACACCAATCTGATCGGTCCTCTCCTTCTTCCAAAATTTCCTATACATAATAACGTTTCTAATATCCTACTGCTATAACTACACATCGGTAACACCACCGATAATATCCCTCTTTTATTACTCCACGCGCAATCAATTCGCACAACCCCACATCCCGCGTCCGACGCATCGCGAAAATGAAATTCCGGACGTGACAATGATATATCATTATATTATAATATTACATTACACTAAAGTTTGTTCTTATTACATTTTCTATTATTAATTAATCATTTTTTATTAATAATAACAAATATAAGAGAGAAGATAGAAAAAATATTTTTATTCTACAATACATTTAATTCTTATTGTTGTTAAGAACAGTTAAAAATACAGAAGATATAATTTCAAAATATTCGCAAGTCAGTATAACTTTATTTTACGTAAATCTTTCGCAAAAATGTTCTTTTCTACATTTTAAAGTAAATAATTTGTCATAAAATACAAATTATTATTTTCTTTATAATTTTATTTCAATTTTTTTTTATATGTAGAACAATGAAATATATCAATGAATGCAAAAAATTCGTAATTATAGTTTAAAAAGTTGCAAATTATTACGTCTATCAAGAGATGTCACCATTTAATTAATTAATTATTTTATTTTATAGATGGAGATCTGTATCGATTCTTTAGAGTCCGCTAGAAACGCGATAGAAGGTGGTGCCAACCGATTGGAGGTTTGCTCGGCTCTCTCGGAGGGTGGTTTAACACCTAGTCCAGGTTTAATTCAGCAAATTAAAAGTTTCACGACGATTCCGCTATATGCTATGATCCGCATTCGCTGCGGTGATTTCGTCTACAGCCCCGAAGAGATCGACGCTATGCTGTATGATTTGAAAATTCTCAAGGATCATCACGTAAACGGATTTGTCTTTGGCGCCTTGACTCCCGATTGCGAGATTGACGTTGTTACATGCGAGAAGATTATTTCTGCCGCTTGTCCCTTGCCGGTGACATTCAATCGCGCCTTTGATCTGACGAATGATCCGGTCAAATCGATGGAACTCCTTGCTGATCTTGGTTTTGAGAGAATTCTAACTTCAGGACAGAAAAATACTGCTCTGGAAGGATTAGAGCTGATAAAATTATTAGTACAAAAGGCTCAAAAATTAATAATTATGCCCGGAGCTGGTATCACAAAAGATAGCATTTGTAAAATCATGGAATCTGGTGCCAAAGAATTTCATGCGTCAGCAAAGAAAAGGAAAATGGTAGTCTATGGAGCGAACAGAATCAAAATGGGTATCAATGAGAACGATTTTGTTAACGTGACAGATAAGGAACTGGTGAAAGAATTAGTTGAGATTATTAAAAATAAAAATATACTACGTGAAAATTAACTGAACTCGAAGCTATTGAATTATTATCTATTCAGTTTTTTTATGTAATTAACATCTAAATAATATATTTAAGAACAAATTGGCTATTTTAAGTTATGTGATTAATTGAATAAGCTAACACTTTATCTGAGTGACAATATATACCATACATTAAGTTAGGATAAGTGATTGAGAGTATCATAAAGTTTATTTTCGAATATTTTTTTTTAATCATAATTTTGTTGTGTACATTCTGGGATATAAAATGCTCATTAATATTATAATATTTATTTTAGCAATAAAACTGGATTGACTTTTAATTGTAACTTTCAACTTTCACGCCAGATAAAGTACAACTACAAATAATTGTATACGAACCATGTATATATAATATAGTTTTGTATAATCATATATAATCTTTTATATATAATACAATTATATTTTTTATATAAAAATATATTTTACCAGATTTTTGCGAATATTTTGTTGTGCAAATGATAGGTAATGAAATGCCCCCCATTATCATATCATGGATGTAAAGTTATGCCATTTCTCAATACGAAACATGAAGCTCTTTTACATTTTATATGATTTAATCGTGCCTGAATATCATACAATATAAATGAATTATTAAAGTAAACAATATTAACTGCATTACATACATCTGAAGAAATAATCTCACAAACAATAAAAAAATTTTATGATCTCTTTTTCTCTCATAAAATATCGACTATTTTCAGTTTTTGATAATTTAAAATAAATCTTTACTTTATAACTTTAAAATAATCTTTACTTTATATGATATACGTCTTTTTTATTTTGCTAATTATGTAGATGTATAGGACGTAAGAAATCGTATTAGAAATCTAGAACGTTATCAATATGTAAATTTTATGTACGTAAATAAGTGAGATTATTGAACATTAAGCTAGGATTTTCGTAGTCTTCATTAGAATTGACTGTGCTTAAAGCTAGGACAAGCAGAGAGGCTTTTACAAATTTTATCCGTTATATGTCAGTTCTGACTCTCTCAGCATTATAACAGAGAGTGTGATGAGTAATTTCAATTGTTAAACAATTTTGTGTTATTATTTTGTATTATTTCAAATTTTATTTAAATGTTATAAAAAGACATACATACCAATTAAACTGCATACTTTTTTAAGAGTTAATTCTACATGTAGGATTGTAAAAATGCAGCTAAAGAGTAAATTTCTTTATCTCTCTAAATAAATAAGATCTTAAATCTAAATCAGATCTTAATATAATTTATAATAATTACTGTATTTAATTTCATCGCAGCAGAATTACTATACAAAAGATTTGCATTATGTTTACGTAATTTCTACCTTGATATAAAGTTACGAGCGCTTACACGTATGTTCGCACTACGTGCACGAAATCAATAATGAGCGAGATCACGCAGCTTGCCTAAGAATATATAAATGTGGAATAATAAATTGTCAACAAGAGGATTTATCATACTTAAAACGTGAGACAATGTCTTTGCATCGATACATTCGAACATCCGGTCTATTCTGATTTTTTTCCCGACCAATTTTAGCAGATAAGAATTACTTGCAAATGCGTTAATAAGCATCGTTACAGCTAATCATCACTGCTGTTAAAACAAACATAAACGTTTTAATAGACTATGCGGGAAGTAATGTTAAATTTTTAACAACTTGGGCCGAGCGGTTGTCGTGAAGGAAGTAGATTTTTCGAATATATTGTCTTTCTCTTTCATATATGGAAGGTTCATGGATAGTAAAAGTTAAGCGTAAAACGCGGAAGATCACGGGGCACAGGTTTGTACACAGTATCGGGTACACTTTCGTTTATGATAAATACACCTCTGCGTTTTAGAATGTGTACGTGTGTACATATATATGCCGATTGCGAAGCAGGTTTTATGTGTAATACACACGTAAACGGAACTTCAACTGGTTATTCTCACGTGTATGCATGTATTCGTGTCGACGAGTATTTCCACTAAAAAAAGTCACTTGCATTGACGTACTTGATTTCATACACAAAGATATTTTATTTCTGAAAGTATGTCCATTTTTCAATTCTCACATACATTGATCTTCCTCAGCAATCTTTTTCGAATATCTAATCGCTTGTACTATGAGTTTTTCGTTTCTGTTTAAAATAACAATTTTGAGTAATTTGAAAATTATAATTGATACTTGAATTGCATTCAAATACTTAATAGCATTTAGATTTAAGATTAAAACACCATTTTTTGATATTTCTATTTCAAATATAATGCTCTAAAAGTTTTTTTTTAATATAAACCTGCATCGCGACAAAGAACAACTTGATACGAATGGATCAAAGATCGCAGCTCTCGTTGGCATTATTGCATGTCATGTTAGTATCTAAATTGCGCATATAATTAAATATACAATTTACCTAGAATTCATGAATAAATTATATATAAATGAAATGCGTGCAGTATGTCGTAATTACGATAGCGATTATATTAATATGTGAATAAAAAAATTCTTATATAATGATTTGATCACAGATCAAGATGCACTTATCTGGGCTGGCAAACATCCTTGGATACATTTTCAATAGAAGAATAATAAAACACTTTATTTTAATGGGAAATTCAGAAATATGAAAATATACAACGACATTTAATGGCATGTAAGTAATTTAACGACGTCCTGAGAAATGACATTTGAGATTTTACAATTATACTTTTAATAACTGCAATAAAAGCACAACTTTATCGCGGTAATTCATATTTAGTTATTATAGACTATAAAATATTTTTCCAATTTACACATAGGACTCTAGTAAAGAATCTCTTACTTTATACACGAAAGGAAAAGCAGCAACGGGAGATTTAAAGAATTCAGAAAACAAGATGATATATTCGAGTTTGAAAATAAAAAATATTATCTTTTTTTTTTCACAACAATTTTCACCAAAAACGTGCTGTGAAAAACGAGGGCATTACAGATGGCCATTCAAGAAATTTTCTCGACCTCTCGAATTCTCGATCTTATTCAGAAAGATAACTCATCCCTTAAATGGGATGAATCTTTCCACAGTGATCATCCTATGGAGCCTAGCGGATTCCTTTCGGATACTAGTGTGCGGTAAGTGCGTTTGCGTTCGTTGTGTACACGTATAAATTGATCAAGAGCCGGTTCGGTTTCTCACGTCACGAGGATACAGCTGCAGGGCGACGTGGATATACTTTTCCTGCGTGTACTCGAGAGCGTTGGAGCGGGATCGAGCGCCCGCGCGCCCATACGTCTGTTGCTCAACCAGACTCCGTCCCGTCAGTGCGAGAAACACGTTCAAACCGATCGGTCGTACTGTACATCCGCGGTCGTGCTAAGCCTCCGAAACCGCTTCTCCACAACAGTGCAGATGTAAATCACGGCTCCAGGGAATCCCGTGGAATCTGACGAAACGATCACGCTTTCATTCTTTGAAGGGCATCGAACGGGAACGAAACGCATCTCTCGCGAGAAGGTGTGAGAAATAGTGATAAGTCGATCATGTCGCCCTTCTCGATTTGTGAAAAGTTAAATCTTTTTTGATATTAAAATAAAATACGAAATTGCGCTGTTCTCGAAGTGAAAAGTAGTTTTTCTCCTTTACTTTTCTCCTTATGTTGTAATGAGTTATAAAAATGTTTAATTTTCTTCAGTGGAATAAATGTTAAAGGTAACGGAGTAGTCGACGCAGAATATAAAGGAATTGATCGCAAATGAGACGCGGTCAAAGTGAGACGAAACGTTTAACTTTGTAATCTGGGAATAGGACTGAGAATACGTGAAATGAACTCGAGAGAAAGTGTATGCGTATATATAAGTACGATGTCTGAAATCACGTCCACATGTTCAGTATTACGTACTCAATTTTGCCAATTACTATCAATAAATTCATCGAAGAAACGCACGATGCATGTAGAATATTAAACAAATTTTACAACCTCGAGGTATATGATGATGATAATTTTTTGATAAGCAGTCAACCAATTTTATAGCTTGCAAAAAGACAGAGATGTTTCTCGTCAGCGTATCACTATACCGTACATCCGCGATATGTTTTCACGGAGAAACATATGCTAGAAATTAATATCTTTGAGTATCTGAGAGCGCTGCCTTTAGTAAGAGCTCTGATCTCCATTCGAATACATTACATCGCACTTTCCTACTTTCATCGCTAACTGAAAGATATTAATCTCGAGAAGATGTCTTAAAGCGAAAGGAGCACCGGATCTTTTCGAAAAATTGAAGTTACTTAGAAATGGATAAATGCAGGTTAATTAAATAATGATAAAACGATAAATAAAATTTCTATAAATTAAAAATGTTTTGAAGTTATAAAGAAAGTTAAAATTTAAAGAAAAAGAATCGTGTATGTAAAACGCAGACAACTTTCAGAATTTAGAGTATTGAGATTAACATGCAAAAGCGAAAAAATTATATTGTTAAAAGTTGTGTAAAATATGTCGAGTAGTGAAATTAAATACATAACATTATACTAATCTAATTTTATTTTACATATTGCATTATCGAAGATTAGATATTTACATATATGTAAAACTATTGAGTAATAGAAAACCCTGCGGGCGTTAAATCTTTAATAAAGTTGATGACCGATTGGATACGTTCAGTCATCTACTAAACCTGATTACATATCGTAATACTTTTTAAAATTCTTTTTTCATTAATTAGATACTATTAAGAATTTTCGAGATTGTCGATAAGCTATATCTTTTTCTGTTTAAAATCTGTTTTTCTGACAATTATCAGGTGTGCAAAACATGTTCACATAGTAACGTTATGTTATTTAACGTTATATAAGTTAAAATAACGTTAAATAACTAACGTTATTATATACGTAATCAAATATTAATAAATTTGAAACTAATGTACGTGACTGAATATTAGTAAATTACTTAACAAATTACGTCAAGTAATATTATATAATTAGTCTTATTTTTATACAGAAAGCAGACTTTACGAAGTGTTTTGTTATGTATGTGTAGATGAAACTATCAGTTTCGCCATTTTCGTATTAAATTTGCTGAAAATATTAAGAATCTGTCTTTAAAATATTTATTG